GCACGCGCACTACAGAAAAAACCCCCCAAAAAAAAAAAAAAAAAAGAAAAAGAAACGTGTGTGCATGCTCGCTCAAAATCCTTAAAGGAGAGCAATGGAGAAGCAACTGTGGCTTGACCGTTACTCATGGGGCGTTTCTCACGTTCTCTTTCTCTCTCTCTGTCTCTCTCCAGAGAGCACACAAACACTGGCAAATTAAAAAAGAAAGAAATAGAATAAGTGAAATGAAATACGATCACTTAAATCTGCTTTGTAATTGGTTTAAAACAGGAATTGGCATCTTTTCCTGTGGAGGGCCAGTTAATAAATGTTTGGTTCATGGACAACATAGTCTCTGTCCCAACTTCTCAACTGGGCAGTTACAGCACAACCATTAGATCTGGAGAGCCTTGGGACTGGAGTGACATCGCGGAGGGCATCTGTCATGAGGGACCACCTGACAGAAACTGTGGCTTCTAATAAAGGGGCACAACCAAACCTAACCTACTTTGAGTGTTCCTCAACAGGAAGCTTCAGGCTTCAAGTACAGGTAGTTCATCTGGGAGATCCAGGAGGGCCAGCAGGGGAGTAAGTATGCAGAGAAAAGTGGAAACTCAGCAAAGGGCGTTTTACTAACCAAATACTAGAGAGGCAACTGGAGCATTGCGCAGGTGCAAACACTGAGTGGCATATCAGTATTCATTTTCTGCTCTTGTATTTTATGAGGTTGGCCATCTAAAATGAATACAACCTATGCAGCCCGAGTTGTCTGATGTTCGAGGTGGTAGTAACCTTGGGACTGTCGCTGAAGGCAGAACAATGCAAGGAAGTGACTGAAGGGAGGAGAACATCTCTGCAGGCATCCTAAGTGTAAAGATGGCATGAAGTCTGCATGTAATCTCATCTACCCATGTGAAACAACAGATGGGCAGAAATTAGTCTACAAGGGACTATGCCAGCTGTTAATAGTGGTTGTGTCTGGGCGATGGGACAAAAAGTGGTTCTCTTCTCCTCTGAGTTCTACAACCTCTATTGAGTATGCACTCATGTTACAATAGGAATTAACAGTAGCTTTCGATTTCAAGGTATATTAAGATGCTCCAAAAACACAGCATCTCCAAGATTCTCATTTAATAGGAACACCCACTCGGGCTGGGTTATCTAAGGAATACAACTCAGCCGCATGTAAACACATTTTCTCCGTAGACTACATCTGCTCTGCCAGGGAGTCAGGTGTTTGGAGGGGCAACGGTGACCATGAAGTGCCAAATGTAGACTTTACATTCCCCTCCTCTCTGCCCATCTCTGTCTCTGCCTCTCTCTATTTTAGACCAATAGGAACTTTAGTATTTTAACAACAAAATTATTTCTCTAAACTAACATTTTCGGATAGTGAAAAAGCATGCAGTATTGAGAGGAATCTGCTGATAAACAGTTAGAACCCCGTGGGTGAAATGCCACAGGACCCTCTTCCGGCAGTCACAGGTGGGTCTCTGCTGTGTCTTCAAGCCAAGGCCAAAGATCCGCTCAGCTCACCATTTCCTTCCTTCTCCCCATTTCAGGCCACACCCTCTGCACTGTCCTGAGGTGTCCAGTCACCAGGTCTCCATGTCCTGCCTTTCCTGACACGGCCTGGCAGACAGGATGTCACTGTTGGAAGCAGTCGCCTTCTGCTCCTTCTGGACTGGTGAGTTCCCATCCATTTCAGTCGAGATGAGCAAGCACTGTGATTCTTCAATGTGTCTATCTTACTCTGAGAAGTAATTGGAAGTTCTCCTCTCTTACTTACAGTTGGACTTGGACTATCAAAAGTGGAGCAGCACCAGGTGTCTGTTACCACAGAAGTCAAGAAGAGCATCGACATATATTGCAAGATATCCAGCACATATTTTGAAACTGACATCATTCACTGGTACCGGCAGAAGCAGAATCAGACTTTAGAGCATCTAATTTATGTGTCCTCAACAAAATCTCCAGCTCGGGGTCATATGTGGAGTGGGAAGAACAACAAAGTTGAAGCAAGAAAGAGTTCTCAAATTTCCACTTCAATCCTTACCATAAACTTCATAGAAAAAGAAGATGAGGCCATTTTCTACTGTGCTGGGTGGGACACAGCCACAGTACCAGAACTGTAGCAGGAACTCACTCAAGATCTCTGCTTGTCTGAGCCAACCACATCCTTCCCGACAGGGGCAACCACAGCCCGCTCTCCAGGTGGCCACACCGGACCACTGAGCCAAGAAGCTCAGAAGATATGTAGCAGGGTAAATAAAAAATAGTAATAAAAACATAGTTATATTATACTGGAACTGCTAAAAACTCAAAAAATAAAGAGAAAATATTAAAGACAATAAAAAGAGAAAAAACAGCAAACTTTCCATCAGAATCCATGCAGGCAACAATACATGACAGTGAAATCTTTAAAGCATTAAGAGAGAAAAACTGTCACCATAAAAACTTTCTCAGACAAAATGGACACTTCATTGCTAACAGAACTACTGTACAATATGTTATAAAAATTTACTCAGGGGGGAAACAAGCAATATAGGCCAAAAACTAGAAGAAACGATAAACATTAGGAATAAGAATAAATGGGAGCAGTTAGTGGTGTGGTGGTTAAGGAGGCTGCAACACACCCCGCACACTGTCCACCTGGCCAACTGTGCAGTCCCAGACCTGGTGGCTTTGACGTGTGTGCGTGGGACCAGAAGTTGGCATAATGACTGTGTCGCTGGACTCCCACATAGTCGACCGTGGTTTGAGTCCCGGACCCGGTGGCTTAAACTCACGCCGGATGCACGCATATGCGTGAGTGCCCAAGATCTTGAGAGGAGAATGGAGGAGAAGGGATTGAGGTGTGGCCATTCCCCTTGGGGGGTGATTTCTCACTTTCTGTCTCTCTGTGTCTCTCTGTCTGGCGAGCGTACGCGCCCTATAGCAAAAACCTCTCAAAAAAAAAAAAAAAAAAGAAAAAGAAACGTGTGTGCATGCTCGCTCAAAATCCTTAAAGGAGAGCAATGGAGAAGCAACTGTGGCTTGACCGTTACTCATGGGGCGTTTCTCACGTTCTCTTTCTCTCTCTCTGTCTCTCTCCAGAGAGCACACAAACACTGGCAAATTAAAAAAGAAAGAAATAGAATAAGTGAAATGAAATACGATCACTTAAATCTTCTTTGTAATTGGTTTAAAACAGGAATTGGCATCTTTTCCTGTGGAGGGCCAGTTAATAAATGTTTGGTTCATGGACAACATAGTCTCTGTCCCAACTTCTCAACTGGGCAGTTACAGCACAACCATTAGATCTGGAGAGCCTTGGGACTGGAGTGACATCGCGGAGGGCATCTGTCATGAGGGACCACCTGACAGAAACTGTGGCTTCTAATAAAGGGGCACAACCAAACCTAACCTACTTTGAGTGTTCCTCAACAGGAAGCTTCAGGCTTCAAGTACAGGTAGTTCATCTGGGAGATCCAGGAGGGCCAGCAGGGGAGTAAGTATGCAGAGAAAAGTGGAAACTCAGCAAAGGGCGTTTTACTAACCAAATACTAGAGAGGCAACTGGAGCATTGCGCAGGTGCAAACACTGAGTGGCATATCAGTATTCATTTTCTGCTCTTGTATTTTATGAGGTTGGCCATCTAAAATGAATACAACCTATGCAGCCCGAGTTGTCTGATGGTCGAGGTGGTAGTAACCTTGGGACTGTCGCTGAAGGCAGAACAATGCAAGGAAGTGACTGAAGGGAGGAGAACATCTCTGCAGGCATCCTAAGTGTAAAGATGGCATGAAGTCTGCATGTAATCTCATCTACCCATGTGAAACAACAGATGGGCAGAAATTAGTCTACAAGGGACTATGCCAGCTGTTAATAGTGGTTGTGTCTGGGCGATGGGACAAAAAGTGGTTCTCTTCTCCTCTGAGTTCTACAACCTCTATTGAGTATGCACTCATGTTACAATAGGAATTAACAGTAGCTTTCGATTTCAAGGTATATTAAGATGCTCCAAAAACACAGCATCTCCAAGATTCTCATTTAATAGGAACACCCACTCGGGCTGGGTTATCTAAGGAATACAACTCAGCCGCATGTAAACACATTTTCTCCGTAGACTACATCTGCTCTGCCAGGGAGTCAGGTGTTTGGAGGGGCAACGGTGACCATGAAGTGCCAAATGTAGACTTTACATTCCCCTCCTCTCTGCCCATCTCTGTCTCTGCCTCTCTCTATTTTAGACCAATAGGAACTTTAGTATTTTAACAACAAAATTATTTCTCTAAACTAACATTTTCGGATAGTGAAAAAGCATGCAGTATTGAGAGGAATCTGCTGATAAACAGTTAGAACCCCGTGGGTGAAATGCCACAGGACCCTCTTCCGGCAGTCACAGGTGGGTCTCTGCTGTGTGTTCAGAGCCCGCTTCCTCTCACCACATCCAACTCAGATTTGCTCTGCGATTTCCCCTGGCCTGCACGTCTGCTTGTGCCAGGGCTGGGAGAATGCTGTTGCTGCTGCAGCTCATGACTATTGCTGCCATCTGGCCTTGTGAGTTCCTTCAGCCGGGGCAGAGCTCATTCCTTGGAAGGGAGTCGTGGGCATTCAGATCTGGCAGGAGTGAACCAGTGGTCATCCAGCTAAGCTGATGAACCCCACCATTACCTTGAGGGCTTCAGGAAGATGAAAACTTCAGAGCTCCAGATTTTTATTGACACAGTGCAGATGTATACTGTTTGAATGAGCTATAAAATGTCACAATTTTTAAAAACTTCCAAAATTTTCTTTTGTTTTTCTTCCAGATGCAAACGGAGACATTCTCATAACACAACTCGTAACGTCGGTCACCAAGAAAAAAGGCAGTACAGCGTTTCTTGGCTGCCAAATTAAAACAGCTACCTTGCAGAACAATCTGTATATCCACTGGTACCGACAGCAGGCCGGCCAGCCCTTAAAGCGAATTCTGTGTATTTCCTCAAATGAAAATGTCCTGCATGAACGAGGTATTAGCGAGAGGAAATTTGAAGCAAGGAAACAGCGGGGTCTCTCCTGGAGCCTCAGAATACACCAGGTGGCCGAGGAGGACGCAGGCATGTACTACTGTGCCTACTGGGATACACTGCAGCACGGCGCTCCCCTGTCCCCGAGCGAGAACCTCCCCGTGCCCACTGCACACACCCTGCCCTCAGCCTCCAGAGGACCTGACTGCCGCCCGCAAAGCACTTTGCTCCTCCACATGTGTCCCGAGCAAGAGCCCAAGGTCCCAAACTGTGACAGTGCTCTTAATTAGGAACCACTGTGTGCTTACCCTTCTGGGCCCGGAACCGGCATTTGTAAATGTCCCAAATTGTTTCTATACCTGAGGAGGCGTTTGGGAAGGGAGCCATAATCGAATATTCAATATCGTTGGTTGACTTTAAATGAATGAATGAATGAATGATAGGAAATACAAGGACATAGACCTAGGCTTCGAATTCCTGC